ACCGGGGATTGAAGTTGGGTCCTTGCGCTTGCAAGGCAGGCCACCAAACTGCTGAGCTAAATCCCCGGCCCCTAAACAAATATATCTTTAAAGTACTATACATCCTTCAAATACTGAATGTATAAGAAAATAAAACAGCACAAAAGAGAGTCCAAGGAACAAAGAGGGACAAAAATCCCAAAAGTGGGCTGGGGATTTAGCTCAGTGGTTCCACCACCTGCCTCACAAGCTCAACCCCCAGTACCAAAAAATAAATAAATAAAAATTTTAAAATCCACCAAATAAGTTGTAAGTGAATCAGAGAAGGCAGGCATCCTGAAATCAGACTGGGATATTGGACCTCTAAATTTTAAAAAAAAGAGAGGGGAGGAGTCCAATACAAGAATAATATTATCTAGAATGTCACGATAACCCAAGGCACTCGTACCATTTGTGACGCTAGAAATAAGGAAATCTTGGGAAATGTGAAATGGTATCAGCCCTTCCCCAAAACTGTCATATAGCCAGCTTATTTAGAGGTGCTCTTTACTTATTCACCTGGAGAGTGCCTCCAAAGCATTTCTTCTTCCATCACCCATGGCTCCTCTTCTTGTTCCAACTTGAAGATCACATCTGGTTTGGTAACTTGACAGCCTTTTATGGGAGAGAACAAAGAACTTGGATGTTAATGCTGGAGACAATCATAAAGACCTTGGGCTAAATCCCAGGGGCTTGAAGGCTTATGAAGGATGAGGATAAAGGAACATCACAAAGTAGTGAGTCTCTACCCTGAAGACTAAAGCTCATATAATCATGTGGAAAAAGGGAAGGCTAATTCATCTGGCATATCAAAGTCTCCACACATTTCAGAAATGGAAAGAAATTCTGCTTCAACTGCAAAGCTACCCTTACCCACTGTGATTAGGTTGCTATAGTTCTCCAGCATCACATCACGGTACAAGTTCCTTTGAGCAGGTTTCATTTGCTGCCATTCTTCCTGGGTGAGATCGACAGCCACATCTTTAAATGTTACTGTTTCCTGTAAAAATACAATCCTAATTAAGTTGAAATCATCAAAGTAATGAAGTAAAAAAGAACTTGTTTAGCTTGTATTCAGGGGTCAGAGTTCATAAAAAATTATTAGATCTTTGTATTTACCTAATCTTGTACTATACAATGAAAGGAAATAGAACACATTAGAAATATTTTGTCACAGTATGCTAATTATCAAGTCAGTGAACATTAATTCATCATTTACTAGATGATGAATCTATGGAATCAGTGGTCACTGATTTTTACTGGGCTATGACAGAGATGAAAAAGTGGGATATGACTCACAGGTAACTTCATCAGAACCTGGCCAGGTGACTGTGTGATCTAGTGAGAAAGGCGACATAGCACAGAGTGGAAAGGGAAGAAGGAAGCAAAGAGGAGGCATTAAAATTTGAACAATAAAGCCAAGATTTCCCATAGGAATTCCAGATGAGAAACATCCACTATACAATCAGAAGAAAGGAGTTGAAAATGTTTTAGCCATTAACATAAATAAAAATCTGAATCCATGGCTGAAGAATGTATATGGTTTTAGAGAACACGCACAGTGGTGGGTAATAGGGCCAAGGACAAGATCAACAGCTAAACATCAAAGAAAGAGACTCAGACTATTATTTTATTTACAACCAAAGTATTAGACTGGAAAAAATGTGATTTGGTCACAAATATCTAGTTATTCTTCCTCATTTAAAAACTTCAGTATCTAAGTAAGAATGAAAATCTGTATTTACAAAGGCTCAGAGAAAGAAAAGTATCCACATATTCCATACTTGATGGAATTTATTTTAAAAATAGCATATATGGGATGAGATAAAATGAGAAGTACAAACAGAAATTACCAAAAGCAGAACTGCAAGGAATGCTACAGAGAAATCATTATGTTCACCAATATTGTCATTACTGTCATCTGCTAAAAACTTATTCTCAGGCAATGTTATAATTATTTTTGATCCCTTAACTTCTAAAATTCCCTAATAAGGCTATGAGGTAGCTATTACTATATTTTTATCCATTTAAAAGGGAAGAGAACTGGGGCTAAAAGTAACCCCTGGCCACAAAACTATTATTATTTGGTAGAGCTGGGAATTCTAACCCAGGGTGGCTCAAAGTTGTAGGTTTTCACCCATCATACTATTCTTCCTTTAAAAAATCAGCAGAAGTTGTCTCAGAATCCCACAAATATCCTGATTCAACATAAACAACAGGGCAAATAAGAATGCCTAGACCTTAAACTCCCTTTCTTTATCACGGAAGTTTCACTTCAAAACATCTAAAATCACCAGTGACAAGAAACCATAGGAAAATATGAGATTAAAAAAAATAGTGATACATAATCCTGATTTTACAGTGAGATGTCTGCTGAAACAGTGAGGAAGAAGAATAAAGACAAATCCAGATGAGGAAAACTAGCTATTGCTGCAATGGTTTCTCTAATTGTGGTATAAAAACACACACACAAGATTTTTTTTTTTTGGACTGGGGATCAAACTCAGGTCCTTGTGCTTGCAAGGCAGGCACCAGAACCACTGAGCTAAATCCCACCACACATAAGATATTTTTAATATTATTGCCAAATATATGACTAATAAACTAGTCAAATGAACTCACAAAACCCCCTATTTAAAATTTTAGATAAAGCCCAGGAGCGGGTGCATGCCTGTAATACCAGCACTCAGGAGGTTGAGGCAGAAGGATTGCTGCAAGTTTGAGGCCAGGATAGGCCACAAAGTCAGTGTGAAGTCAGCCTGAACCACAAGTCTCAAAAAAACAAACAAACAAAAAACAAACAAAAAGGATTTTAGGTGACTTTCTAGGCACAGTAGTGCGTGCATGTAGTCCTAGCTACACATGAGACTGAGTTCGAAGAATCACTTAAACCTAGAATTCAAAAGTAGCCCGGGCACAGGCTCCAGAAAAGACTTTAGTGAAAAATGAAGGAATCATTAAAATAACTTTAGAGCAAATATTTGGTATAAAAGACATGATAAATGCAGACACAAAATTAATTTTGCACTTTAAAAAGGCCATAAAATGTCTCTATATTTCTCATTTGAAAAATTGCTATCTTGATAATTTTAATAAACTAGGCAAACACCTGATAAGCCTAAACCAAAAAACAAAACAAAACAAAACAAAACAACAACAACAACAACAACAAAACCCATCTAAAAATAAGAACCAATAGGGCCAGGGATAGGGCTTAGTGGTTCCGCCATCTGCCTTGCAAGGACAAGGACCCGAGTTCAATCCCAGATACCAAAAAACACAAAGTAAGAGACAATAAAACACAACTAAAATACATTAAAACATAATTATCCAAGCCTAGAAATTAAAAAGAGCATGTAATTTTAAAAAGTATGTTTTTAAAATGCTAAAAAAAAAGCAGGCCAGGGATTTAGTTCAGTGGTTCCTCCGCCTGCCTTGCAAGTGCAAGGACTCGAGTTCAATCCCTGGTACCAAAAAACAAACAAACAAATAAACAAAACAAAAAAAAAACCCTATGAAAAGAGCTCTACTTCCTAGATAGCAGTATGAGGAATCCATACACTAGGTTCTCGGCAAAACAAGTAAAAAAATTTTTTTGTTTACAAAATTACATACACCCATAAACCTATTTGGGATGCTGAGGTGAAACATCATGAGTTCAAAGCAAGCATGGGAACTTAACAAGACTTTGTCTCAAAACCAAAAATAAAATGAGCTTGGGCCGAGGATTTAGCTAAGTGGTGCTGCCACCTGTCTCACAAGCACAAGGTCCCAAGTTTGATTCCCGGTACCAAAAAATAAAATGAAATAAAGTAAAATAAGCTTGGGATGTAGCTCAGTGACAGAGTACCCACCTACCATGCATAAAGCCCTAGTTTCAATCCAGTACTACAACGAAAGTAGACAAACAAAAAACAAAAGCAAACAAATAAAAACACTAGTCTCTGAATCAGATATGGTAACATGAACTTACACTCCAAGATACTCAGGAGTCTGAGGCAGGAAGAATGCCATGAGTTCAAGGCCTGCCTGCCTGGGCTTCGCGTATCTGAAGGCCAGTCTGAACTACCTAAGGAGACTCTGTCTTAAAAAAAACACCAACCAACCAACAAACAGAACAGCGCCCAATCACCTAACAAAACCAAACTCCAACAAACATAGTGAAACCCTGTCTCAAAAAAAAAATAAATAAATAAAATAAATAAATAAATAAATAAATAAAATAAATAAATAAAATTAAAATTTTACATTGGAAAACATTTGCTTGATAAAAAGAAAGCACTAGGGCCAGGGATTTAGCTCAGTGGTACCGCCACCTACCTCACAAGCACAACCACAAGGTCCTGAGTTCAATCCCCAGTACCAAAAAAAAGCACTAAAGGAAAAACAAACAAGCAAACAAACAAAAAGACATGAAACTTACAGAAAATTGCAGACACAAACCAATCTTAGTTTTTAACATTGCCAATAAATGGATGAAATAAAACTAAAAGGCAGATTGTCAGACTATAGGAAAACTATGTTACTGGAGACATATTTTTGGTTTGAACATAACAAGTTAGTAAAGTCATAGACAAAATACATCATAAAGAACCATAAGTGTGGTTATACTAATATTAGAGAAAATATAATTTGTGTTTTTATTTTTCAGACAGGGTCTCACTATTTCAAGCTGGCCTTGAACTAACTACGTAACCCAGGCTGGCTTGAACTTGCAGTGGTCCTGCTGCCTCAGTCTCCGGAGTGCTAGGAGAGTAAAGGCATGTGTCACCACACCCAGCCAAAACAGAATTTATAACTAAAACTGTTAATAGAAATAGAAGACATTTTTAAATGATGAAAAAGTTGATCTGGCAGAAAGATACAATTATAAAAACATATCCAGGGCTGGGGATTTAGCTCAGTGGTGTCACTGCCCGCCTTGCAAGCCCAAGGGCCAGAGTTAGATCCCCAGTACCAAAAAAAACAAACAAACAAACAAACAAAAAATCCACATAACAGCTTCAAAGCACATAAACTGGTATGTTTGAAGAGAGAAACTAGCGATTCAAAAATATTTAATTTCAAATACCATTTTCAATAATAAATACTGCCAGGTGTGGTGGTACATACCTCTAATCCCAGCATTTGGGAGGCTGAAGCAGGAGGATCATTGCAAGTTCAAGGCCAGCTTGAACTACATAGTGAGACTTGGACTCAAAAAACAAAATACCAATACCAATAATAATAATAATAAATACAAATAGGCAGATCATCAGTAAAGAAATAGAGAACTTGACCAACACTGTACCCTAACTATACCTAACAGACACCTATAGAACACATCACATAAAAGGTAAACATTTGTCTCAAGGGGGATCAATTGTGCAATTTACCTCTGCAGGTTAAATTCAAGTGACTTTTCAATTGAATAATTTGTTCTTGCCTTATGCATCAAATTCCAGGAGAAGGAAGTATAGGTTTTTGGTATTACAGATGCTACCTACTGGTTATTTAGAAACTGCTGGCGACCATTCTGCCCAAACTTTGTTGCTTATTTTACAACATACACGTTAGCTTACTTCTACCACTCATTCTAATTCTGGGCCACACATAATAACATTCAGCCTTTCCTTAATTTCCAACATGTTCAAGTTAATCATAATTATCCAACTTGTTTCATGTTACCTCTTGCCTTGCATACCCAAAACACTGTGTTCTATTGGAACAAATGTAAAGCAAAGCATAAAGCTATAAGAGGAGTTTGTGCTGAAGTCATATTTGGCTGAATTTATGTGGAGCTATCAATTTGGAAATAATACTTTCTATTTCCTTTCACTGAATGCATCAGAAAAATTTCCTGTTAACTAATAAGCTATTCTGGCTTTTGGTTTTAGCACAAATATTCAAGTATATTGTTCAACTGACCCCTTGAGTATATGTAAATAACTCTCCAGGATAATAGGTAATATGCTAGGCCACAACAGAAGCTCAACGCATTCAAAACGACTAAGATCCAAC